CTCAGGCAAAGACAACTTAGGAAACTATCTCATTCTTCCTTTCTCTGGGAGGCTATTTCGCCTGTTGTTTCCTTGCATACAAAATGTGGTCTGCAACGAATAAGGCAGGATAAGATACAGCGAGTCCTGTTTCTTGCTTCCAAAACCACAGGCCCTAGACACTACAAAGGAGGGGATAAATGGTGTATGTGCTGTAGGGACAATGTTCAAATGCAATCCATTCAAGATAGATTTCTATGATTTTTTTACTGCAGCTCTGAATTCTTGAGCATGATGGTTCTTCACTTCCATTTCTGTGCAGAAATCTGCAGATCTTTATGAAGGGATGCCTCTGATCTTGGGAATAAAGAAAAAATCCCGGTACTGACATATGTGGCACGTGTAAGTGGAGATATTTTAAATGCCATTTATTATGGATCCAGTCTTCAAAACAGCCCCAACTCCACATTTGTAAGAGCTCATGGCCAGCTGTTTTGACAAGTCTCTAAAAAATGCTTGGTTCCTTGCTTTTTTCTACTTCAAGCCCTTAAATATGCTTTAGATTTTCCAAACCATTCAATATACACCAGTTACCATCTGGGAACAGACTTTTAGAGATGACTTCTGCCCACATACAGGCACTGGCTCTGCCTGAAAACCTCTCCCTGGCTGCTGATGCTGGAAAGACCAACTCCGTGTGTTATCCAGATGCAACCTGGATGGCTGCTCTTCCAGGAGGTAAGGGACTGGATTTACCCAAGAAAGGTCTTAAGCAAAGCAAAATATTGATTCCAAGGTCTTAAAATGTGCCCTACCCATTTAGCCATCCTTCCTCACATCCCGTAATTGTGCACAGCAGGGATGCTTGTATCCTCCTCCGAAGCATCTGGCTCCAAAAGGGACAGGATACTGCTCGTGCTGGACTGCTGGTCTGGGATGCTATGGGAATTCCTGACTTCCTGAGTTGTTTATTTTTCCTTTGCAATGACCCACCAAGAGATGCACAGGGAGCGCTGAAGCTTCCTGCCAGTAGGTCTGTTTAACTCTTTGCTCACCGGCCTCTCCTCTTCAAGAAACCACAAAGGAAATTTTCCCAGCCCCTGGCAAGAGAACGAACAGACTGGAACATGCAGTCCTCGTCTTGCAGAGCTGTGTGAAGTTAGAGGCACAGAATGGTTTGGATTCAAACAGACCTTAAAGGTTGTCTTGTTCCACCCCCCTGCAAGGACACCTTGCTCTAGACCACAATGCTCAGAGTCTCATCCAACCTGGCTTTGAACACTTCCAAGGGTGGGGCAGACGCCCCAGTTTCTCTGGGCAACCTGTGCCAGGGACTCACCACCCTCTCTAATTCTAATTCCTAATTTCTTTGTAACATCCCATCTAAACCTACTCCCTTTCAGTTTGAAGCCATTCCCCCTTGTCCTGTTACTACAGTTCCTGATGAGAAGTTCCTCTCCAACTTTCCTGTAGCCCATTCAGATGCTGGAAGGTGCTCTGAGGTCTCCATACAACTTTATCTTTCCCAAGCTGAACAGCCCTAACTCTCCCATCCTGTCTCCATAGGGGAGCTGCTCCAGTTCCCTTTATCAAGTGGCCTGCTCTGAACTTGCTCCAACAGTTCCTTATGTTGGGGGCACCAGGACTGTACACAGTATTCCAGGTGGAGCCTCACAAGAACAGAGTAGAGGGGGAGAATCTTCCTCTCCCTCAATTGTGTGGGATTTTCTCTTAGTGGCTCTTAGGGACAGTAGCAATCAAAGAAGGCAGTTCAGATGCACTGTGCAGAGCTACTTTCACTACTCTTCAGGCTGCTGAGCTTCTCCAAGTGTATCTCCCTGCTGTTAATTTCAGTCAGTGGCAGGAGTAATGAAACCAGGGTTTGCCTGGCCCTGTTGTCACACTTTCTCCAGCCTGTGATTCAACCCTCACCAAACAGCCCAGGGCAGCTATTTACCAGAAATAACTGGTTATCCCTAAATGACAGTGGCAGGATGCCTTGGACCACTCCATCTCAAATCTGGGGCACTGCACTGGATTCATACAAGGATATCCAACACCAGTGTATTTCTGAAAGAAACACTCATGCTGGTTGTCTGCTTACCCAACAGCTGGGCTCTAAATTACATGTTGTTTATTAATAATGTATTTTGGTCTAATTCTTAATGAAACATCCATTAAAAACCTTTATTTTAGTTGTAAATGCTGAATTCCAGTCTCACTCTAATGTAAATCTGAAATAACACCATTGATTTCAGCCTCCTGGTTAATGCTGTTATTTCCCAGCAAATAGATTGTACCCTTAAATTATCGTTATAAAACAGTGAAAGCCCAGAAAAGCTCCCTGCACTTAAGTTGCATCAGGGTTTCATTGCCATTCTTTCTTTTCATCTGCTTGCAGCTTTGAAGCTGAGATTTTTCATGCTTCACCTCAGACAGTGACATTTTTTGAAAAGCCAGTGGGAAAGTCCTATCATCTGTTTCCATGCTAGGCAATCACACACTCCAAAACAAAAATGAAGCAGAAGCCCTGGCACCCTCTGGCTGGGAAGGACTCTTCCCCAGCTGCCTGATGGTTCCTGTGGACTACCACGAGGCACAGGGGGCCAGAAGGTTTTCCTCTGCAGAACTGTCAATTTCTGTGACATCCCCACTTTTCTCCCACATGATGGTCCTAAAGCCCAGGAACATTCATTTCTGCCTCTTCCCTAAGCCCCCACTGGAAAACAAAATCATTCACACAGTGACAATGAATTAATTGTGCCACTGCAGGAACAGCTCTCAGGCATCAGAAATTCGGAAGTGAGAGAACTGAAGCTCTTCATTCAACTTTAATTAAGTCCCAGTGTAAAATGTATTACAATAGTCTTTACTCTTTATTAACACAGCCTTGGGCCAACTCTTACACAATCCAGACAGCACATTTTTTTCCAACAATACATTTTACACATGAGGCTGGTATTACTACCTATTGCTAAGCCTGCCCCATGCTTCTCTGAGACCCCATTTTCAGTTGCTTCTCTCTCTCTCTCTTCTCGCTTTATCATGTGGGATTAATGTTTCAAATCCTGGGCCCTTTTGTATTTTTCCAATGCAAAACTCACAGAGAAAATACCTAGCAAATATCTAGCTGTTTCAGCTACACTGAGACAGCAGGCTAATAAAAAATACACTATTTTGCCCAAGCTCAAAAATTTTGGCAACCTTTGGTTAGTCTGAGGCTTCAAAACTTGCAGGGAGTTAAGGCTACCTGTGCCTCAACACTGAAAACACTGAAAAAAATAACAGCACCTCTAATTTCTGCAAAAGCTTATATTTTTTAGCAATTGATCTAAAGCTTAATTAAAGCTCCTTTTGTCTCAATTTTGTTCTGATGTGGGGGATGAGTGAGATTCTCCTCTGTAAGTCTGTGCTGCTGTGGGCTGAGACCAGGAGCAAAGAGAAGGAAGCTGGTCTCTACCCAATGCTGACAGACTCTTGGAGAGGAGATGGGAACAGTAAAATGTTAGTAGTTCTTTGTTACTTGGGAAGAGCATTAATTTTTTCTTCTGAAGGAAAGTAGGCTCAGTCAGATCTGGGAAGATTTTCACCAGGATGGCAAAAAAGCACGCTTTTGATAAAAAAAACTTGTTAAATTTAAAAGAAAAGGTGTGAAGGCATTTTCATTGCAAAATGAAAACCCCATCTTCTAACCACTGAAGAACAACTAAGATGTTTCTGTAGGTATTTTCTTTCAGACTTAAACAATCTGGATAGAAAAGATCAGCACATTATCAGCAAAAAGGTCTTACAGGCCCTTACACCCAATTCTCTCAGGCACAGGTGTCCCTCCTCTCAGAGGGACCAAGGGCATCAGAGGGATGGAGCAGCTCTGCTGGGAGGAAAGGCTGAGGGAACAATTGGGATTGTTCAGCCTGGGGAAGAGAAGGCTTTGGGGTGACCTCATTGTGGCCTTGCAGTGCCTGAAGGGAACCCACAGGAAAGATGGAGAGAGACTCTGGGCAAGGGCCTGGAGTGACAGGACAAGGGGCAATGGCTTCACACTGACAGAGAGCAGGTTTAGATTGGATATGAGGAAGAAATTCTTCCCGGTGAGTGTGGTGAGGCCCTGGCACACGGTGCCCAGAGAAGCTGTGGCTTTCCCTGGATCCCTGGCAGTGTCCAAGGCCAAGCTGGATGGGGCTCTGAGCAAGCTGGGATAGTGGAAGGTGTCCCTGTCCATGGCAGGGGGAGATTGGAATGAGATGATCTTTAAGGTCCCTTCCAACCCAGGCCATTCTGTGATTCTATGGTTTAGACTTCAAGCACTCTGAATTGGAAATGTTTCTTTTGCTGTACAAATACAATTGGAATTTTAAAAAATGGGAAACCCCAGAACTGCATTTGAAAATTAGGAACAATCTGATTGTAACAAAAAGGAAGAAATATCAAAATTTTCCCCTTTTAAGTAAACTGGACTAATTACACCTTTATAACCAAATCACAAATCCAGATCTTCATTTAACAATGCTCTCACAGATGTAATAATGCCACATATTGACTCTGTGAAATAAAATAATAAATTAGCACACATTAAGGACGGCTTGAGTTTTGCCTGTCTCACGTCCTGCCTTGAAATTAGCTCATTATTCACTTCCTCCAAGCCAAGAATTTTTAAGTGATACCTGAAGGAGGGCCAGAAGAGCAGTTTTAAGGTTGCAAGCACAGGACCAACAGCAGCACAACACCTCCTGGTTTGCTTAATATCTCAGGGAATGCTGCCTGCTCAACCCATCACCCAGGGCTCTTGAGGAGGCTCAGCCTGCTGGCAAAGCAGGCTCTCCCCACCAAGCCTGAAAAAAACCTGAATTCCAGGAGATCAAGGAGCTTTGCAGACTAAAACCAAAGTGCTGGGTCCACACCTGCGACTCACTTCCTGCAAAAGCACCCACCTCCTTTGCTTCACTCAGCCTTCAGGATCAGGCCCAGCTCTCCACTGTGGCCTGGGAAGTGAAAGGAGAAGAGGAATGTGGGACACTCACCACATCTGTGTTTGTGATCTTGGCCAGGAGGTCCGTGAGGCTGTCCCCATCATCGAGCTGAAGGCCACAGATGGCTGCTCCCACACTTCCAGTTGCTATCATTGATGGTGGGTACATGGCAAAGTTAAAATCTGCAAGAACAGATCTGGGAATTAGTCCAAGCCCAGACCAGAAAAGCTGCAAAACATCAGAGGCAAGCAACATAAAAAAAACCACACCCAAGAATAAAACCCGGGGAAGTAGAAGAAAGGGAAAAGTGCCACTCTTTTTGGTCCCATGGAGCTCATTAGTCACACTGCTCATCACAAGCAGTCAAAGGAGGGGGAACAGACCTGCAAATTAAAATGGAAATGCAGTTCAGGCTTTTATTCTCACTGATGCATAAAGTAAACCTGGACAATTTTTAATAGTCTTTCCTTAGTTTTAAAGAAAAGGAAAGAGAAGAAGGAGGCTTTCTGTAATTTATGTCAGAAATTTGGGTCTTGGTCACATTAGACCTCTCTGTATAACCAGAAAACTAACTGGAATAAGGTATCACAAAGGACCAAAATGAGATTTTTAGTCACGTCAATTTTTAAAGAGTTAATTAATTCGAGCATTTAAAGACCTGTCCGGGAAAGAGATTTTAATTAACGGTTCATCTTTACTACCTTAGCAATTAGAAAGTAAGAACACTTACAGCCCATAGCTATGAAATCAAAGAACAAAGATCACATTTGTCATTACTACCACTTCTTAATAAACAAGCTGAAAATACACTTCAGAACTTCCTCTCAAACATCTGTCAAATCAGAAGAGAAATTCAAATAAAATCCTGTGATCTTTAAATTTAATTTAAATGTATGATTTTAAAATCATAAATTTTACGGTTTATGATACTTCCACAGACACTGTTTTATCAGCACTAGTTTATCTTGCTATATACCAGATCTCTCACATCTTGATATATTCCTAAAATTAAACTTGATTTGCAAGTTCTTTGGCTCAACAATAACTCGTTAACAAACCTTTCTCTACTGATTTTCAGTATTAGCATACCTTTCTCTACCAGTTTTCAGCTGGGGGAACTGGAGTAGAAGGAAGAGTAAACCAAAGTAATAAATGATAAGAAATAAGTAACAAGCAATACATTCCATCAGTAGAAACAGATTACAGAAAACTGCCCAGCTGCAGATCCCAAATCCCCTCTGTTCACAAATTCTGTAACCCTGCTGCTGTCTGTGTAGCCACTCAGGTTTTTAGACACATGGATAGTTGTTCTCAGCCTCCCAAACTCAGAGCTGGCACATACTTCAATAGCTGTGGAGACAGCGTGTTCTTCATCTGGCTGAAATATATCCCCAGGATTGAAGCAGTCCAGTAAGAATGGCACTTGGGATGTAACATTCACCCCAACGGACCAGAACTGGGGTGTTAGAAGTGGGGACACAAAAGGAGGAGTTGAAACTCTGACACAGATTTCTCGGTCTCACAAAGCCACCAGGAGGTTCCCACCTGCAAGCCCAACACTGCATGCTGCTTCCTACCAGACATCACACTCTGACAGAAACTTTTGAAGGGCAAATTCCCACTGGCTATGTGGGAAGTCAAGAATATGGACTGCCATTATTATAAAAATAATAATTTATGCCCTACTGTAATAAGAACCCACTGTCCATAGCAAAGCTGATTATTGGAATTGGATTCTTCCATTCTTGGAAATGAAATTAAATTGCCCCCCACTAACGAATGAGACAACAGAAGAACCTTGACAACCAAAATTCTCAGTGCAGTACAGAGTCCTGAGTACACTCATCTCAGCACATGATGAAGGAATGGGAATTACACTTCCAGGATTGCACCTTCTCCCAGTTACCAGTGGTGTGTCCCCCAGGGCTCAGTGTTTGGGGCCAGTTCTCTTTGATAAAACGACCTGAATGAGGGGATCAAGTGCATCCTCAGTCCGTTCTCAGGTACACCAAGCTGGGCTGGAGTGTTCATCTGCTTGAGGACAGGCTCTGCAGAGGGATCTGGACAGGCTGGATCCATGGGTCCTGGCCAGAGAGATGAGTGAGAAGGCCAAGTGCCGGGTCCTGCCCCTGGGTCACAATTCCCATCAGCTCCAGGCTGGGGAAGAGTGGCTGGGAAGAGCCAGCAGGAAAGGGCCTGGCCCTGCTGGTCCATAGTGCGTGCCCAGGTGGGCAAGAAGGCCAATGGCATCTGGGCTGGGTCAGCAATGGTGTGGCCAGCAGGACCAGGGCAGTGACTGTCCCCCTGTTGTGGGCACTGGCGAGGCCTCACCAATGTGAGGTGTGTCCAGTGCTGTGTCCAGCTGTGGGCCTGTCACTGCAACATGGACATTGAGGGGCTGGAGCTGGGCAAGGGGCTGGAGCACAAGTCTGATGAGGAGAGGCTGAGAGGGGAAAGGAGGTTCAGGGGGACCTTGTTGCTCTCTACAACTCCCTGACAGGAGGGTGCAGCCAGGGGTGGGTCAGCCTCTGCTTCCAGAGAACAAGGGACAGGACTATATGAAACAGCCTCGAGTTGTGCCAGGAGACGTTTAGATTGGATATTAGGAAAAATTTCCTCAGGGTGATCATGCATTGGACCAGTTGCCCAAGGAAGTGGTGGAGTCACCATCCCTGGAAGTGTTCAAAAAACATGCAGATGTGGTACTTGGAGTCGTAGTTTAGTGGTGAACATGGCAGTGCTGGGTTGGGGTCCATGATCTTAGAGGTCTTTTCCAAGCTTAATGATTCTGTGATCCAATCATTTTCATGTTTACCTCACGTGGATTTATACAAACACACGTAAGGGATAACCACACCCCTAAGCTGGGAAGCAACTTCCATATTTGATCTTGGATGTACCAAACCTCCTCTCATGCATGGGAACTACAGATAGCAATTGACTTTCCACAGGTTTCCCCTCCTCGTTCAGAGTTTCAGGCAGGATGCAGTACAAAGATGGTGCGGGGAGGTGCCACGTCCAGGCAGAATGGGCTGAGCGAAGGACAGAGCTCCACCTGCCCTCTGAACTTCCTTGCCTCGCATCACAACCTCCACGTTATCCAAATGCCGGTGTTCTCGTGGCTGATTTTAGATCCACTCCCAGAAACTGTCTTCCTAGGAAGCTGAATAAAGAGGCACAGTGTCCCTGCCAACTAGCACTGCTGTAGGTCTGCTTCCACGTGGGGTCACATGCGAACATTTCTATGCCCAATAACCTTGTTAGCTCCCTTAATGTCATTCATAATGCAAATGAGACAGCGAGCGAATGGCCAGAGGCCCAGAGTGACTAAAGCTCAGCATCTAGAAAGTCTTACATTGCCTCTAGCTCTAAACTAACTTCCCTCCATAACAAGCACCATAAACTTGGCTATCAAAGCTACACATGCCCAGTCTTTGTTGTACAACAGGCAGCGATTTGTATCACTGGCTTCTATTTTTAGCATATTAATTAACTACTGCAACTGGTGAGGCAAGTGTCTCCAACTGGAGAGTGTGGCACCATTGTCTGAAGTCATCACCTCATCTCGAGCTATTGAAAATCATGGCAGTGACCCTCCTGCTGATATGAATTTAACCTGACATGCCCACAAAGGAATGGGGGGTGGTGCACCAATTTTGTGCACATGGTTCTCCACATCACCCTGGACCCTATTAGTGTGGAAAGAGCTCATTGAAAGAAAAGAAGCCACATTGTGCTGGGCCACCTAGAGGGTTGAATAGAAAAGGCTGAGGAAAAGAGCAGGCAGCGCAATAAAGGCCATAATTAACATATTTCCATATTCAAGCAAAGCAATAACTACGTGAAATGTTTGTCAAGGTGCAATGAAAGCATAAATATTAAGTACCGTATCTGAGGGGATGCAGAACCGCCCCCCCAGTCTCTTAGATTCCATTGAGAAATTCAAAACAAGCTTTTTACATGCTATTTTCAATTATAAGCATTTATCTCTGCTTCTGCTATGACAACAAGACAAGTCTCACCATCCTCATTCAGTTTTCACCCAGGTAAAACTGTTGTACCCCACCCTCCCAAATTAGGCTCAAAATTTGTCCTGAGATTTAAAAAAAAGCTAAAAAATAAAAAAAAGCTAAAAAATAAAATAAAATAAAATAAAATAAAATAAAATAAAATAAAATAAAATAAAATAAAATAAAATAAAATAAAATAAAATAAAATAAAATAAAATAAAATAAAAAAAAAATAAAAAAAAATAAAAAAAGATGGGAGCCACAGAAAGATAACCTAAAAATGCAAGCTGAAACATATGCATTTACTAAAAATCCTTGTAGGAGATGATGAAACCTAAACTACAGGGGAAATTTTACAGAAAGCACTTCTTACTGGACACTTGGAATTTTATAAAAAGCACTTCTCCCTGGACACCTGAAGCAAGGTTACAGGCTAAATCCTTCTGTGTGCAAACTTGGTTAACATGAACCCAGAGCCTACATCTAAAGCTTGACTCTGACTCTAACTTTGTTGTGATCTATAGGTTTATAGTTGGGCTCAATGATCTCAGGGGTCTTTTTCAACCTAATTGATTCTGTGATTATGCCATTCCATGGGAAAAGTACAAAAGAGTCTCATTATAAGTTAGAGAAGCAGTGTCACAGCGCGTGGTCTATGAGAATCTGAGCACACAAACATTTCAAGGGAAGATACTGGGCTGTTAGAAAGCACAACTTGTTTTATTTTCTATTTCAAGGCAATAAACACTAGAACCATCCCATCCCCGCTTTAGTATCACCTATTTCCCAAAAGGCCTCAAAAACAAGTGACCAGCCCTGCACAACCCCACTGACTCCAGCTCTGGAAATAAAGAAAGGCAGTGCAAGAACCAGCACCCTTTGAAACACAGCCACCTGTGCACCATCCAGCCAGAGTCATCCAGCAAATTCAGGGTACCCTGAACCTGCCCCCCACTTTCAGCCTGGAGCTGACACAGCCAGGGCATGAGGAGGTTTTCCTGCCAGTGGAGCACACGTAATCCACTGCGGCTGAGCTGTTTTGCTGGCTGTCTCCCAGTCCAGTGGTCTTCACTACCTTCAAGCCAGGAAAATGCAAGGCTGACAGTCAGTCCAAAGCAGAAGGGAACTGGAGGAAGTAACCCAGAGAGGGCCTGCAAGGGGAAGCCTTAACT